GAGCCAAAGAAGTCCCCCAATGAGCAGCTCCGTGGAGGAGCCAATCAGCTAGATGTTGCTGGGGCCGCTGTGAGTCAATCATCAGCTGGCAGTCTGAAGGGCAGGGAAACAGCCCAATGAACATCACCGCAGAGGAGCCAATCAGCTAGATGTTGCTGGGACCACTGTGAGCCAATCATCAGCTGGCAGTCTGAAGCTTGCTGGCAGCTGGAAGTTTGCTGGGGCCCCTTTGGCTGTGGCTCTCAACACCTTGTAGTTTTTTTTTTTTTTGAGACAGGGGTCTTGCTAAGTTGCCCAGGCTGGCCTTGAACTGGCAATCCTCCTGCCTCAGCTTCCTGAGCTGCTGGGATTACAGACAGGCGTGAGCCATCACAGCCAGCTGTACACATATCTATGGCAGCTTTATTGGCAAGCTGAAAACCACCCCAATGTCCCATTCCTTAATAGGCGAGTGGGCACATCAGCGGTGACATATCATATTCAGGTTGTGGAATACCTTCAGAACTAAAACAGCATGACTGACACACACAGGAAATGGGTACTCAAAGAAGCCAGCAATGAAAGAGCACCCAGGAGAGTCACAGAAGCAACCTGCAAGTGACCAGGACCACATGGAGGATGCTCAGTGGGTGCACAGCTGTGAGTGCCACTGACTACACACACACACTTGAAGAAAGCACCTGCCCTTCACTGGGTTCTTACTGCCTGCAGATCATAGCTCAGTGATTGGGAAAGAAATACGGGGTGAGGGCTCCCCTCCTGGGGGAGTGGGAGGGGGAGCCAGGTCCTTTGGGGGTGATGGTTCTAGTCCGAGTCTGGCTGTCAGTTATGACAGGGTGCTCCTTTGTGAAGAATTCCATGAGCTCTGTTTACATGTACTTTTCACTATTTAAATTATTCTTCAACTAAAACAAAGTAAAATAAAGAGCACTGAGGAGAGAGGTGGGTGGCTGCCTCCTAAGACCGACATCTGGGTGGCAGGCAGGCAGAACCATAAAGCAGAGCCATCTGAGGACCTTTAGGCTCACATGCACTTTTCTCTGGATCTCCATCTTGAACTCTTCGTTCTGCTTTACAGTGGAAGTCACCTCATGCCCAACAGGTCTCCAGGCCACTGAAGCCTCCCTCCTGGGCCCCTGCCTGGTACTGCCAGCTTGTGCTGGCCTATAGGGGCCACACTCCACCTTTGTCCTCCAGCCCTGGCCCTGAGGCAGCGTGCCTCTCCACCTGTTCTCAAACCCAATGTCTTTCTCTGGAGTTCAGGAAGGTGTGAGACTCACCTGCCATCTTTTGCCCCAGAGGAAAAGCAGGATTTCCCAAATAGTGGCCCACAGAGCAAAGGGGTGTCTTGACTGTGGGCAAGTCTTGCTCTGAAGCCTCTGAAGGGAGAATGGGGCAGTTCTGGCCTCCTCCCTGGGGTCATGTGCCAGGTCTGCCAAGCTCTGGCAGTCATCGCTGCGGGAGCTGGGATGCTGCTGCACTCCCACAAGCATAAGATAGCCCTGCAGCCCCTGACCCTACATTGGGCTTTTCTTATTTCATAATCACTGTCCTCATCACCATTTTTTTTTTTTTTTGGTGGTGTTGGAGCTTTAACCTGGGACGGTGTGTATCACTGAGCAAGTCCTCTACCACAGAGCCACACTCCAGCCCATGTCAACATCTTAAAACCGAGGAAACTGACTCAAGAGATCCAAGAATGCCAGAGAATAAAGACTGTCTCAGAACACGACAGCCCTGATGCTTCCTTCAGATGAAGAAAATGCCACACAGCACAAATGGAGCTGACCGTGCAGCTACACAGATGTGTTTATCTGAGAACACTCCCCCAGATTCCTCCCCTCTGGTCCCTGTTCCTAAGCCTTCTCCTTCCCATAGTCCTGGAGCTGGGGGACTCTTTGCTCTGTGGTTCAGAGACTGCAGCAAGATCAGGGAGGGCCTGGGAGACCAAAGCCAGCAACTCCCTTAAAAAGGGCCCTGTGCCCAAATGGCTTCCTGAGTCTGGACGGGTGATTCCGACGCCAGGCCTGCAGAGGGAGCCTTCCCTGCAGAAGCACTTGAGCCAGCATTCTGATGTGGGCAGCCCGCCTCGGGATAGCCTCCAGATGCTCAGAGACACAGGAACAAGGAAAACAGCATCAGTGAGAGCTTACTACTGCATCTAGCAACCCCTCTGAAAAACTCCAGGTCATCTGAAGGAAGAGAATCAAAAGAAAGCACACTGGAACAAGAGCCTTACGGCAACACCTTTTTAATAGGTCAAAGTAACTGTACAGTTCATTATATTCTTCCTGAGAATAATTCATATCCCCCGACAAACTAAAGGGAGGGTGTGTTCTTCAGAATGATCTAAGAGGACGATGGTGCAATAGCTGGACATCTAGAGAACCAAACCCCTGCGTCCCGCTTAGTTCTCTGTGGGGAAGACAGACACGATGAGGGTCAGCCAGCGCCCGTGGCTGTGAGGGGTCAACATGGCTTTAATCTTTCCTTATAAATCATATAAAAATGGAAAACGGTGGTTCTGGACTCCTCGCTGCAGTTTGGAGGTGCTCTGGTACAAAGTGTTTCTGCTTCCATGAGAAATTACACTGCTACAAACAACGGGCACATTATCCTGGTGAGAAGACACGAGTTTTGAGTCTTGGCTGGGCTCTGCAGCTGGCTCCAGCCCAGCGCTTCCATGTCCACATAAAGTGAAAGGCGGGAGACAGAAGGGTGCTAGTTTTTTTCTGAAATGATTTGAGTCTTCAAAATATAGCTTTTATATTCTTTCTTTGTAAATGGGATTAGCATATTGCAACAGAAGGGTGTTCTAGCCAAACCCCAGTCTGGATAATAATGCTATGGCAAGAAAGGAATCCTTAGCCTCCTGGGTCTCCTGGGATTCTTCACCACATTCTCTTCTTCCTATATTCAGTGAAGGCAGGTCAGGAATGAACACAGCCCCCAGGCCATTCCCACTAAAACACCCCAACAGGAATACCAACTGCGCTTCACATTTCTGCTTTAATTTCATTTTGACACAGGGTCTTGCAAAGTTGCTGAAGCTGGCCTTAAACTGGCAAACTTCCTGCCTCAGTGTCCCCAGTTGTCGGGATTACAGGCATGCACCATTGCATCTGGCCTTCATGTTCTTAAAAGCTTCTTAATGTATAATTTTCATTCTTGAAAAATGCCACATTATGGACCTCAGACTTTTCTGAACCCCATGATTTAAAAAGAATAACAAAAATGAACCCAAGTCAAGATGTGAACTTATGTGAGAGGTTTTCAGCCAGCCATTGCTCGGCTGGAGCTGTGATGCTGGCGCCTGAGGACACGCTGGCTCTGGCTGCTGGTGGAAGGCCGGTAAACACCTTCCCAGGGAAGAAGTACAGCCCCCGGGCGGGCTCAATGCGGCCTTGCCTGCCCAAGCATCTTCAGTCTCGCCTGGTCAATGGCATCCAGCAGGTTCTTGGCATCCACTGCGAGGGCGTGGGCGGCAGTCAGCATTTGCTTCTTGTACTCCTGCTGCAGGCTGGTCATGGCGCACTGCTGGGCCAGCCGCATCTTGCTGATGAGCTCTCCCAGGTCAGAGTTGAGCAGCTTCTGTGCCATCTCGATCTGGAAGGACAAGAGGCAGGTCAGGAGGATGGCTTCTAAAGAACCTTTCAGGGAACTTTCTTGTCTTTTATTGCAGGGCTGGGGTTAAAATCCAGTGCTGGGCACGTACTCTCCCACTGGACCCCACCTCTGCCCCTTCTGTACACAATTTCACAAGCCTTTCTTTTGGTGCCACCATGAGAAAAAAAAAATCTTTCCCTCAAATAAATCCTCCTTAGAAGCAACAGGGTGGAAAACCTTTCTCTCCCTGGGAACTCTGGCCAGTGTCGTGTGCCTGTGCACGTGTGCTTGCCCAGCAGTCCTGCTTCCACCCACAGCCCTGCTATCACCAGGACGTCCTCTCCATTCTGCATTTGCCGTCTGGACTTCCACCTACCTCACTGTCTGGCAGGGCTTTCCTTTGTTTTACAGTAAATCATAGAACCTGACAGAATCTCAGAGAGTACCTGGTCCAGATTCTCCCATATCAGCACGGGCAGCTGAGGTACAAAGTGACCCGTTGAAGGCCAAGACAGGACAAAAGCCTGGGTCTGGACTCCTGATACCTCTCTGGACCTCCCGGAGCTGCATGGGACGATTCTCGGTGTCAGAAGGCCCTGGCCTTGCCTCGGCGTGAGCAGGCACGGGATTCGCCTACTGCCCCCATGGGGGCAAAGGCTTGTGTGTGGAGTCTCATGAGCCCGCCTGTTCATTCAGCCAGGGGTGACAGCCATCTGCTCTTGTGGCCCTTCCTGAGCACTTAACATGCACAAGGTACCTTGTGCTGTGACATGAGAAGCAGTCAGACATGTCTGCACACACAGGCCAGGCACAGGACTGCCTGGGACCCCCAGAGACAGTAGCACAACAGAAATGCACAGTGAGAAGGGGCAACTCACCTTGCCTCAGAGGCTTCTCAGGAGAGCCTGGACTTGGCCTGCACTGTGAGTGGGCTGGCTTCAACTGCAGGACCTCACAGGCCATGCCCAGCTGACCCTCTCCTGCTGAGCTTGGTGGTGGGTAGGCAGATCAGATTTTTAGGAAGGGAACAATGTAATCTAGAGATCTACCTCTTTCTTTCAGAAAGAAAGCTCTGGTGGCAGGAGAGGAAGGCAAGTCTTATGGCAGTCTGAGGAGGTGACAGTAGTTGGTGAGGATGAGGCCCACTTGAGACTCATCAAAGTGTCTGTGTCCCATGTAGAGGGGACTGAAGGGGCAAGTGGCCAGTATGTGGTAGGCCCTAGCTGGGGAAGCAAGCAGGGAAAAGCAGACAGCTCCTGCCAGCAGCTGACAGATGGCTGGAGACTGAGCTCGGCACGGCCCTACCATACATGGGCTTGGGAAGCAACAAGCATTTGGATCTATGGAAGTGGGGTGGGTTGCCAAGATGAGGGGTTTTCTTTAATACAAATGGGTGGCACCTGGGGGACAACCACACTCAGTGTAGCAGCAGGAGGGGAGTTGAGCAGGAAGTGCTGCTCCTTAGGAAGCATGGTGGGCAGTAAGGAGGGGAAGTGGGCGGGGAAGCAGGCCCACAGGAAGGCTCTTCTTAAAGAATGATTCAACAACAAGGAATAAGGGAGAGGGATCTGTATGCCTGAGAATCAGGAGTGCGAGTAGTGACTTCAGCTACTGGCTGCAGTAAGTGCTGATGATGGTCCCGCAGAAAAACCCTTGTTAGACTCCTTTTCTTGCCTATGGTCATTAACTCCTCTGCTTTCTGGCAAACTTGTTGCTGATCAAGAAAACTTGATGGTTGCTGATGGAAAACTGCTCAGAGCCCCAGAGAAGCAGGTAAACTAGTGAGGACCTGCTTGCTATGAAAAAGCTGCACTGTGGAGGCACTCAGAGGAACTATGTGGTTCTGTCACTGATAGAGGAACCACCAATGGTTGCTGTGTCCCGCTGTCCTTTAGGAGGCAAGATATAGCTCCCCAGATTGACATCACCCAGACAATGTGTACCTCAGATGTGACATCCTGAGAAGGACTCCACTCCACTTCAGGAGTCCTGCCTGCTTAAGATGTGACACTGATCTGCCATCCTCCTGCCTCCCCTAACCCTCCAGCCTGAGACAACAGGCATGCCTGGTGATACTGACTTTTTTTTTTTTTTTAATATTTATTTTTTAGTTGTAGTTGGACACAATACTTTTATTTTATTGATTTATTTTTATGTGGTGATGAGGATCAAACCCAAGGCCTTGCACATGCTGGGCGACTGCTCTTACCGCTGAGCCACAACCCCAGCTCAACACTGACTTTAATGAACAAGTACAGGCTCAGTTATTTGAAGAGTGTCACCATGTTGAGAGCATTCTGACAAGTACACTGCCCTTCATCTGTAAGTCAGAACGAGGCAAAACTACTGAAAGCGATGATTGTTGCTAGGAGACAATATTTGGGGTGAACTTTGGTCCCTTAAAAATTTTAGTAAAATTTATTAATTTAAGAGAATATTTTAAAGGGAAAGCCAGTATCACTTGCAAATACCAAGGTTTGGGAAGGAGCATTCAAAGGAAGTGGCAATGCATCTCCCCCTCTGGAGGAGCTCAGCACCGACAGCAGTTTCCCTGAGTGGTCACGGCCACCCTGTTCCTCAGGGGAAGGCCTCACACAATGGCTCTGAGCCTGAGCAGGTGCTGGCCTTGGCAGGGGACAGAGTGAACAGAAGGGCTATCACCTGTGGAGCACCTAGAGCCAGCCTCTGCTGGTCCTGATGTGGGACCTTCAGCACCACAGCTCTTCCTGTGTGTGGCCCCGCACATGACCCTTCCAGTGCTGTGCCTACCTCTCGGTGTGTGCTGGCTGGGAGGACAGGAATGGTCTCATCCACGGTAGCCAATAGTGTCCGCAGGGCCAAGCCAACTTCCTAACAGACAAAATCACGGCCAGAGTTAGAGCACATAGGAATTTCATGGTGGCACTGACCATTTCACCTTGCAAGTGAAGTGTGCACGAACCTGTGTGTGTGCGCGCGCACACACACACACACACACACACAGAGTTTCTAACAGTTTTAAGAAAAAATTCTGCACTTCTTTCTCTTAGTGCTGACCCCATCTAGTACATTACAAGGCTCCTTCCCTCTGTAAAGATGCAGATCTGTCTGTCCTTCACCATAATGTATCAGAGCAGTTGCTCAGGTAAGAAGCGTCACATAAATGCTAGGAAACAGGCATGCCCTGTTCCCACCTGATCCAGGAAGACGATGGTGCCCACACAGGTGAGGCAGACACCACCTTTCTCATGTGTGCGCACGGAATCTATTTTTTTTTTTTTTTAAAGAGAGAGTGAGAGAGGAGACAGAGTGAGAAAGAGAGAGAATTTTTAATATTTATTTTTTAGTTCTTGGCGGACACAACATCTTTGTTGGTATGTGGTGCTGAGGATCAAACTCGGGCCGCACGCAGGCCAGGCGAGCACGCTACCACTTGAGCCACATCCCCAGCCCCCGGAATCTATTCTTGAGGCCATTTTGAATCTTCCACTCCACACTCCATCCATTCTTATAATCCATGTGAGTTGTTAAGACAAGGGCTAACTGCTTAGAACATCATCATTTTAAATTTCATTTTTTTTTTCTAGTATTGAACCCAGGGACACTCTACCACTGAGCTATATCCCTAGTCCTTTTTTTTATTGGGGGAGGGAATACCAAGGATTGAACTCAGGGGCAATCAACCACTGAACCACATCTTCAGCCTTATTTTGTATTTTACTTAGAGACAGGGTCTCACTGAGTTGCTTAGCATCTCGCTTTTACTGAGGCTGGCTTTGAACTCGTGATCCTCCTATTTCAGCCTCCCGAGCTGCTGGGATTATAGGCGTGTGCCACTGCTCCAACCTCCTAGTCCTCTAATGAGACAGGGTCTCTCTAAGTTGCCTAGGCTGGCCTTGAACTTGCGATCCTCCTGCCTCAGCCACATGAGTCACTGGGATGACAGGTGTGTGCCAGTGCCAGGCTAAATTTCGAATTATTGGTATTGTTGTTCTTATGAGGATCCAAGATGTATGACCAGTATGTCAATGTGTAATATGAATAAAATCAGTATGAAAATGGCATTTATACTTGGGTCAGCATGCAAAAGGAGTGGAATCTCTGACCAAAGCAGTCAGGCTTTACCTAAGAGGGAGATGCTCTGGGCGGGCATTGCTGGGCAACTGCCTGCACAACTAGAATGGCTGCAGTACCACTTGAGCATATAGTCCTACAGGACCACCACTCTAAGTGGCCAGGTGATGAATGGAGCATCCCACAGACTACAAGACTGACAGTTAAAGCAGTAGTTGCTACTAAATCAACATGCACAATCTTGACATGTCTGAAATCCTGAGTGCTTTTGTTTACTGCTGAGTTGTTTTTTCAAACTTGGCTATGGGTTCATCATGTTCTCCCAGAAGAACTTTGGCTATGATAGTCACAGGAGCACAGTTTAAAACATGAACCAGAATGATCAAGAAATATCACAGCTTTTAAGCAGCTTTTCTACATTGATGGTATTTCTACAAAGATTGCCAATAGGTATACTAAAAAAGTGGTATTGACCCCACAATCAACAACAAAAAACCTAATTAAAGCACAAGCAAAGGAACTAAATAGACATTTCTTCAAAGCAATCACACAACAAAACAGAGAGCCACCCACCCATGCAGTTTAGAGGCGGAGCAGCTAGAGTTTGCACAGGTTGTGGGGAAGCCAGAGGTGCAGCTGCTGGGAAGCGCGGTGGCAGGATCTGGGAGGATCACAACAGGGCTGCTGTGCCTGCCAGAACTCCTCTTCTGACTGCACACTAGGACTGAAGACAGAGCCTCGAAGGGCTACCTGTACGTCACATGCACCGCAGCACTATTCATGAGAGCCACCAGGTAGAAGCAACCAAGTGTCCACAGATGGACAAATGAATGAACCAAAGCAGGTACGCATGTACAGCAGGATGCTGCTCAGCCTTAGAGATGAAGGAGACTGAGACACATGCTACCACAGGGAGGAGCCTTGAGGACATCTTTCCCAGTTACAGAAGCCTGTCCCAATAGGACAAATGCTGCACGACTCTCACTATGTGACAGACCCTGAGCAGCCAGATTCAAAGAAAGATAGAAAGCAGAACTGAGGCTTGCAGGGGCTGAGCAGGAGGGGGAATGAGGAATCAGAGCTTAACTGATGAAATTTCCGTTTTGCAAAGAGAAAGTGCTTAAGCTGGACTTGTTGACGGTTCTCAGCAGCCTGAAGGTGCTTAATGTCAAAGATGTGGGGGAAGGGAAGATGATATATTTTAAGAAATGTTCCTATTAGTGCTGTCTAGTTACACATATACTATAGTTATATGTAGTAGCAGGATTGATTTTGACATATTCATCAATGCATGTAAAAGTTTGTTCCATTTTAATCCCCAAGGATGGTAAATTCTTTTTTTTTTTGTATTGAGTATTGAACCCAGGAACACTTAACCACTGAGCCACATCCCCAGCACTTTTCATATTTTATTTAGAGACAGGGTTTTGCTAAATTGCTTAGAACCCTGCTAAATTGCTGAGGCTGGCTTTGAACTTGCAATCCTTCTACCTCAGCTGCTGGAATTACAGGTGTGCTCCAGCATTCTTGGCTGCAAGGATGATAAACTTACCACTGTGGGGGAAAGAAAAAAAAAAGCATGTGCCAGTACCTTTTAAAAACACTAAAGCTAAGTTTGATGGCACTCTTTGAACTGTAGGACACTTCTGAACACCTGTGTGCCATCATGAGGGTCTGGTAGGAGCAATGCTGAGCCTCCTGGGCAGTCTTGTTTGGACAGCATCTGTTATTACCTCCCAGGATCCCATTCCACTGAGCACAATTTGAAAAATAGTCCACAGTATTTTTATTTTGGTCTCTTCCTTCTTTTATTTTTTTAAATTAAAAAACACACACATACTCACCCCTTAGTTTAAGAAAAATCAACACAGATAAATTGTCCATATACTCTTTTGCCTCTTCCTCAGAGGGACAGTATCTCAACTGGATAATTACTGATCCCATGTACTTCTTGGACTCATTCAGGATATTCCTGCATGTTCTTCAACTTTACATAAGTGCCTCACGCTGACAGTACCCATCTGCAGCTGCTGTTTTAACTAGAGACTACATTTGTGAAAGATGGTATCCCTTCAGGACCCTACCATCCTAATGTTTACTGACATGAGAGAAGCAGGGATTCACAATGATGGTGGCTGTCTCCAGAGTCCTCACCATGTGGTGCCTTCACACCTTCCTAAGTATCAGGTCTGACTCTGGGAGATGTCAGAGATATCTAGTAGCTCTACTGCAGCCTCTGTGCACCGCAGGCTGCACTCACCTTCACCATAGGGACGTACTCCTCGGGTGGGGCTGGCTGGATTTTACTGGACATCTCGATGACAGCTTTCACCAGGCCCGTCACGTTCTCATACACCTTGTCATTGGACCGGTCCAGGTTGGCAGTGGGAGGGGGACTGATTTCCTGGGGTTGAAGCTGACAATAAAGAAGCAGATCATTCTTCTGCTCTCCAGCAGTGGGCGTAATACCACCACAGCTAAATTAGACTTCAAAGCAGACTGCAGAAGATAATGGATTTTCTTGTTTGTATAGGATATAGTTCAGTTTGAGACAGTAAAGTGATTCACCCAAGTGACAGAGTTGGCAATATATTTTTTTCTAATTTTGAGCTCAGCTAAAGGAAATGAAATGGAATGACATATACTGTACTTAAACTCAGTGTCCCCACACCCCAAGATTATTCACCACAAGAGAAACAACCCACATACTTTACATCTGAGGATTCACCAAATTCCACAGAAAGTCACTTGCTAATAATGGAACACTCTACACCAGTACTGAGCATTTCCTTGGCTTTAAGTTCTGCAGTAAGGAGGCTTATGGCTCAGCTGAGCTGCCTAGGAGAAACCCGCTCTCTTCATGATGGAAGGCTCTCACACGGGAGTTCATCCCCAGTGGTCACTACCTACTTGCAGGACACTCCTAAATCCCAGTGGTGGGGAAGCTGCTTCCCACAGCTCTTGGCTGCCTGCTGGATGAATCTGGGCTCTGAGGCTCAGCTTCTCTAGTGGGCCAGATGAAGGGCAGATGAAGCCCCGAGGTACATATGCCCACCCAAGGACACAGGAGAAATTACATGTTACCCAGATAACCTGAGTACTAGAGGTGGAATAATGTATGGCCTCTACCAAATTTTTGGCAGTAATTAAAAATTCAAATTGGGGGCTGGGGTGTAGCTCAGTAGCAGAGCACTTGCCTAGCATTCACAAAGCCATGGGCTCAATCCCCAGCACCACCAAAACATTTAGAGTTATACTAACTACAAGAAAGACACTGTGTGTGTGCGCATACGTGCACGGATGTGCATTTAGACTAAATTGCTGTAAATGACAGTCATTTGATTGTGATCTTCTGCTGGTGTTCAGTCTAAGACTATAAGTGACCGTTTCTGAACTCTTGGGTACCTTGCCCAAGGAGACTGGAACAGAATTAGTCATTTGTTCCCAAGTCTGGGTACAGGTCAAAAAAGGGCAGGAACAGCTCATCTACTGCAAGCGTGTCTACCTCTCAGTTTTCAGCCAACATCATTGCTGTTTCTGGCATTTGTCAGTCATGAGAGATGAAGAACCAAGCAAAAGTGCCCCCCGACTCCTGCACCAGGCTTCCCACTTACTAGTTCAGGGTCACATGCAGGGAGCTGGGTATGAGAGAGCAAGCTGGACAGACACACAGACACAATGTGCTTACCCTCCATGGCTATTGTCCAACGGAGGTGAGGAAAAGTTAGAGGAATTTATCAGAGGAAGGGAAAAAAAGAAAAACAACATTAATCAAGCAGCAGATACCTCCCTAAACACATGAGCAGGATGCAAGGTACCAGCTGTGGCTGCAACCTGCTCTTGCTCTCTGCCATCAGGAGCCATCTTGTCTTTTGGGGGCTCCATGTACAGTGGGTGACTTAGAGCCTTGCCATGCACCACGCTTGTTCCCATGAGATAAGTGAGCAGGACAGCGTGCAAAGCCTGGGAGTGACAAGTGGCAGCCGTGCAAAGATCAGCAGAATGAGGCTTCTTCATAAGAGATGGGGACGTTTCATCACTGGAAATGCCACCTGACTTCCCAGGGATTTGGTTCCCACACCTGGCCCTTTGCATCCTTGGGAATCTGCACTGGCATCTAGCTACACTGCCCCAAGAAAGATTTCTGGTGTGCTTAAAGACCTCAGGAGCTTATTTTAAAAATCAAAGTATAAAGAATATCCTTCTTTTGAACCAACTATTATTATTATTATTTTTTAATATTGGGGATACTGAACCCAGGGCACTTAACCACTGAACCACATTGCCAGCCCTTTTTATATTTTCTTTGGACACAGGATCTTGCTAAGTTGCTGAGGCTGGCTTTGAACTTGCAATCCTCCTGCCTCAGCCTCCTGAGTTGCTGGGATTATAGGCATGTACCACCGTGCCCAGCTTGAACCAATTCTTAAGAGAAGGTTCCATGACTTTGAGTAAAACCACCTCTGCCTGAACAGGCAGTGAATGGGAGAAACAAGCACCTTCTCCTCTTCTTAAAAGCATCTCAAAAGATACTTTTGAGATCCCCAGCACCTGAGTGTAGAGATGCACTTCTCTCTGGTACTTCCATGTGCACTGGAAAGAAGAACTCTAGAACTCATCACTCAAAAGAAAGGGCTGGCTGCCTTTTACTTTCTGCAGTGAGGACCTCAGTGCAGTCTTGTTTATCTTCCCAGGATGGCCTGTATAGACTCCATCACACAGGAAGACACATGGCTTCTTCGGGAGGGTGCCAAGGGCGTATTCCACCAAGAAACAGGATGGTTTGCAATTCTAGGGGTGGAGGGTGGCCTGCCATGACTGTGACCTGCTTAAGGTTTCCCTTCTTATGGTGCTTCTAACCACGCATGGCGACACTCCAGAAGTTTAGAGAAACATCTGTTCTTGGTTTCCTATTTTCTAGAGCTCAACAACTTGGAAACTCCTTGTCTGGCAATTAATGACAATCAACTGTCCCCCAGCCATGTGGCCAATCCCACCCCTCAGGGTGGTGCCTGAAGCCCCAGAGCTCCAGGGAGGCTCCAGGGGGAGCGTGACAGCATAGGGCTTGGGATCTGACCCCAGCACTGAAACCAAGCCACAAGAGCAAAGCTGCCAAGGAAAACTGGGATGATTTCTGGCTAAATGTTATTTGAATGATTATTTTAGTTATACCTAGTTAAAGGCAAACATTTCTGTATCAAAACAATCATTCTTTCAAGCTACACTTACTACAGATAGATAATAAAGGAACAGGCATGGGCTCCACACTAATCACTTCAAAATCTTTTTTTTTTAATATTTATTTTTTAGTTTTAGGTAGACACAATCTTTGTTTTATTTTTATGTGGTGTTGAGGATTGAACCCAGTGCCTCATGCATGTTAGGCAAGTACTCTACCACTAAGCCATAACCTCAGCCCGCAAAATCTTCATGTATTTTAAGCATATTGTTTCTTTTTTAATTTTTTTAAATATTTATTTTATAGTTGGACATAATACCTTTATTTCACTCATTTATTTTTTACATGGTGCTGAGGATCGAATTCAGGGTCCAGCGTGTGTGAGACAAGCACTCTACGGCTGAGCCACAACCCCAGCCCAAGCATATTGTTTCTACCAAGAGTTTACTCACGAGGTTATTCCAGGTGTGGGACACGAAGGTGTGTCAGGATTCTGGGGTTCCTCATCAGCTTCTAACATTGGTTTTTCACTGGAGCACAAGTCATTGTGCAAGTCTCGTCTTGTGGCTTATGAAAATAAGCTCACTAACCTGATTTTTTACCATTCTGTTTTTCAAATTTTTACTTAAAAAAATCTGTTAGGAAGGGTCATGTCTTTGCTGCTTCTGAGAATACCCACATGTCCCTGACAGCACTGGGAAGCTGCAGGGTCCCAGGAGCTGACGACTGGCCAATAGGTGCTCTGGATATTCATTGGTTTCAGGGCAGCGTGGGCCTAGCTGTCTCACTGGACATCCCCCAGGGAGCAGGCTACACCCGCCAGAACCAGCCCACTCACTCTATGGTCACCTCCTGGATGGACAGGGAAACACTACCCCTGGTGAGGATGCGTGCTCTCTTCCGGGACTTGGGATAAGAATGCATATACCTGACCAGGGGTCAGCTAGAGCAGCTCTACAGGTGGCACCTTGGAGCAGAGTGCAGAGGTGTGCAGTCCATGGATCTGCAGCAGCATGCCAGCCCAGCCACCAGAGCCAATGACCATAAGCATGCTGTTTCCCCTGTGTGAGGCCAACATGAGGATGAACATGGACAAGGTCTGAACCACACCTGACGGGGGGAAGGCACTCCAACATTGCAATGAGTCTGTGGAGCAAAGATCACCTCCGCCCAGCTCATGTGCACTGACCTGGGGTGCTGTCTACTTTGAGGTGTACCGTGTGTTCACGCAACACCAGGTCAGGAAGAGCTCTGCCCCTCAAACCACCACCTGCCCCGATTCCAGACAGTCAGATCATGGGAATGGTGTGCCTCTGGTCAATATATGGGGCATATTTGGAGAAGTGGCTGTTAAGTGGCCAGGCCAGAGGGGCTCCCTGTCCAGGTGAGGCTTATGAAAATAAGCTCACTAACCTGATTTTTTACCATTCCGTTTTTCAAACTTTTACTTAAAAAATCTGTGTTAGGAAGGGTCATGTCTTTGCTGCTTCTGAGAATACCCACATGTCCCAGCTCTCAGGCTTGGCAGGGGGCCTGGGAGAGCCAGATGGTGAGCTCCGGCTCCAAGCCAGGAGCAGAGTTGATGAGCCCAATCAAGGGCAAGATCATGCGTGCCTGGGCCAGTGCTGCTCTTGGCGGGAGGTGGGGGCTCTACTTGTTCTCACAGGGAACCATCCTGACCCTGGATGGACAACAGGCTTTTCTTAACACCACGATTATGAGCCTAGAGGCGAAGTGGGCCCACAGGTCCTCACTTACCCCTGGCATCATGGCTTAATTAATTTACAAAACTTGATTTTTTAAAAATCAACACTTGATTTCCACAGACACGTTGTGCCTCATGGGAGGAAGATGTAGGCACAAAGTCAGAATGTGATAAAGTCCCTAAAGTCAATCATGAGAGAAAACTGGGAGAGTCTGGGTAATACTTCCCTGGCTCTCAGGGGATTCAGAACCAGCTGAGTTCTGGCCCCTTATGGTCCTCTCTGTGCTGTCCCCACCCACTGTATGACACAGACGTCATCTTCCAAGGACAAAGGGATCCAACCAACCCTAAGAAAAGAGCATGCCCACATCTGATGCCTACCTTGACCCCCTCGTTGTAGCTGTCCCCAGGGCTGCTGAGGCTGGCGAGGCTGCCCAGGTGGCCAGGGGCTCCGGGGCGTGGAGGTTTCTTTGGTGGAGCTGCAGGATCTGACAAAGCAGAAGGACTTCCTTAAGGGTAATGAAGAAAGCCAATGCCCTGCACTGGCACCAGGCTCCTGTCCTAAGGGCCTGTGGTGTTACAGTATTAGATTCTGCTTTTCAGGACTCCAGCCATGGCTGAGTGTGGTCAGAACCAAACTTGCTATGATCTGTTGGGGGAAGGCTTAAAATCTTGTGAACATCCCCCAGCTGTGACACTACACTTACTTCCAACCTGCTGCCAACTTACACAAGTATTTAAAAAAAAAAATTTGGTACTGGAGATTAAACCCAGGGATACTTAAATACTGAGACACATCCCCAGCACTTTTTACTTTTTAATTGAGCCAGGGTCTCATTCAGTTGCTGATAGTCTCCCTAAGTTGTTGAGGCCAACCTTGAACTTGGGATCCTCCTGCCTCAGCCTCCTGAGTAGCTGGATTACAAGTGTGTGCCACTGTACCCAGCTACTTACACAAGCTTTTGACACACAAGTCATTTCTTCTTCTTCTTTAAAAAAAAATTAATATTTATTTATTTTATTTTTTTAGTCTTTGGCGGACACAACATCTTTGTTTGTATGTGGTGCTGAGGATTGAACCCAGGCCGCACGCATGCCAGGCGAGCGTGCTACCGCTTGAGCCACATCCCCAGCCCGACACAACTCATTTCTTCACTGACCTGGTTTGCCCACAGGCTGATAGATGTGTTGGTTTCCAGTCTGTGGGAAAGGAAAATTGAGTCAATGTACTGATGTATACAGGGAAAGAACCATCCCACTCTCTTCCCTATTCATCCACTCCCGGAACTCTGCCAGATGCTGGGCATTGGGATGAACAAGACAGCTGCCTGCAGGGCTCAGTGGTGTGGGGAAATAGGCAGGTGACATCTCATACCAATAGTGTGTGTGGGGAGGGCTGTAACAAAGGCAACCTCGGGGTACTCTGGTATTCATACAGATCTAGAACTTTCCTACATGGATGTCTCTGGTTTGCCATCAAAGGTCTGAAATCCCAGCCCTCCCAGCATGTGTCCACTGCTGATCTCATGCTCAGGGTCCTTCTACCCCCTCTGATCACAGTAAGGGTGCAATCAACAATGAAGAGATAGGGACCTGGTAGCACTGGGGTGTTTGGCAGTCCCCATGGGCTCATGCTGTCAGTGTCCCTAAAGCGCTGTGTACATTAGAACGGGTATAACCCTCCAGCAGTTCTAGGACAAGGCAAGGAAACAGGGACTGGGTAAGGGGAGGCCTCTAATGGAAACAGTCCTTCTCCAGGTCTTTATGCCTGACACTGCATTTAAAGTAATAAGTCCCTTGTTTTTTCGGTAGAGATTGAACCAGGGGTGCTTAACCACTGAACCACGTCCCCAGGCCCTGTCATATTTTTCATGTTTTATTGTGAGGCAGGGACTTGCTAAGTTGCTGAAGCTGGCCTTGAAATTACAATCCTCTTGCCTCAGCTTCTTGAGCTGTTGGGATTAGAGGTGTACAGCCAACCTAAAGTAATGAGTTTTATAACTAAAATGGGAAAAAAAAAGTTTTAGAACCATACCCAACCTTGTAAAAGAAAAACTTTTCTTGCTCATTTTAAAATAATGATACATACACATAATTTAATATGCTTTGTTTTCTACTGAAAAGAGGTACTTCTTTAAAATACCAGGACAATGAAACAGTACATATAATTAAAATGACTATTTTCCCCAGAATCACAGTTGTTTTCAACCTGCCATTTATCACCCTGATTTTATCCTGTTTTAACTAACTAATTTAACTACTTACATTTTCTTCTTCTTTTTTAAAGAGACAGGGTCTTATTATGTTATGTTGAAAGACTGGCCTTGAACTAGTGGGCTCAAGTGATCCTCCTGCTTCAGCCTTCCAGGGGCTGGGACTGCAGGTGCTGTGACACTGTGCCCAGCACAAGCTCTACTGCTGAGTTGCATCCCTAGCTCCCACCCTGGTTCCCAACCTTGCAGACTCTCAGAGCCTGGTGGTGGGGAGGGGTCCTAAGCAACGTGCTTTCTACCTTACATGCCATGTTCACGCTTGCATTTCTTCAACTAGCAGGCACTGAGCCCCTGCTTTGTAGCTGATACTATACTGGGTACAAACCAGAGCTCCTGCCCTTGTGGAGCTGCCATGCTTGGATATGAGGTATCCCCCCAAAGCTCAGGTGTGAGCCAATGCAAGAAGGTTGAGAGGAGAAGATTGGGTTGTAAGAGTCTTAACCAAAACCAGTTATTTAATCTCTTGATAGGGATTAACTGAGTGGCAAATGAAGTGGTAGGGTGTTCCTGGAGGAGGTGGGCACTGGGGCGTGGCTTTGGGGTATATGTTTGTATCTGGCAAGTGGAGACCTCTCTCTCTCTGCCTCCTGATCATCATGTGAGCTGCTTCCTTCTGTCACACTCTTCCACCATGATGTTCAGCCTCATCTTGAGTCCCGAGAAATGGAGCCAGCCTTCTAAAGACTAAGGTCTCTGAAATCGTGAGCCCTCAAATAAACTTTTCCTTTTCTACAATTGCTCTGGTTGAGTCCCTTTAGTCACAGTGGTGAAAAAGCTGAATAAAACAGAAATTGACAGAGAGGTGGAGAGAGACACTTGTGCCTACTCCAGACAGCACAGGGCCAATGGAAGGAGAGTCCTGAGCTCAGGCTTAGAGATGGCTGTGATGGCCAAGCTCATCCTAGGTAGGAGCCAAGCCACGTGCAAGGAGGGAGGACAGAGAGTGCGCCTGGGGAGCATCGAGGTGCCAGGTAGCCAGAGGAGCCTGCGCTGGGTATGGTGGTTAATATGGCCAGAACATGATGCAGTGCCTGCTGGCTGTGCTGCACCAAGATTTGGCGGTAAAACCTACACAATTCCTAAAAGGCTTTCAACTCGGCGAGCTTTCTAGTTGATATTAGGTGACAACCAAGCTCAATTAACTAGAAAACTCGATTTTTGAAACATTCTGGAACCACCTAACAAACGTGCCTGTGTGCAGCCAAGCAGGTTCCACTCTGGAGGGGCAGGCACTGGAAGGAAATCCCATGTTCCACACATCGATTGGGCCACGTGTCATGGGCCTGCCGGGCCTCAGTATACTTCTTCTCTGAAGCTAACGATGTACCCAGTCCTGGGCTGCAGTCACAAATTGAGTATGCTACTGACTCACAGGCCATCTTAAAGGTGCAGATGTGACTCTGTTTGTCATGCACACAGAAGGGGTTTATTTCCATCAGCTAGTCATTAGTGACTATTAACTAGGTGCATGCACTAGTTACACATTAATATGATTATTGGCTACAGCACACTCATTCACAAGCTGTGCTGCTTTTTACCCAAACAGCTCTCTCAGAACATTTCAAAAATGTTAAAGCTAGGGACTGGGGTTATGCCTCAGCGGTAGGGCACTTGCCTAGCATGTGCGAGGCACTGGGTTTGATCCTCAGCACTACATAAAAATAAATAAAATAAAGGTATTGTGTCCAACTACAACTAAAAAATAAATATTAAAAAAAAGGTTAAAGCTAAAGAGTTCCAAGAAATGTGCCAAACTAAACGTTGTCTTTAGAAAAGGACCAATGTGGTCATGGGGAAGACAGACAAGCTTGCTCTGCCGGGTGGCCACAGGAGTTTACTGCCTGGGTCTGGCACTGCAAGGAGGTCTCTGCAGCAGCCAAGTCTGTGGAATACAGGTGACAACAGGGCCTGACAGTAATATGAGTATCACGTGTAGCCCATTCCACACAGCACTTTGCAGTACTAAGCACTAAGCACTCTTACTGTCTACGTCTGGCATGCAGAAAATCATGACGTTGCAGGTAGGCCTGTCATGTGTTGTCTGACAGTTCTTGTGAATAAGGCATTTCTGAGTAATCCTCCTATCCAGGTCTCATTCATTTGTTCTATGTATTTTCTGAGTATCTTCTATGTGCCACATTTTGGAACACAAAGAATTTTTCTTTTCTAACAAATATCCTATTAGCAATTCTCTCACTAGTGAGTCCTTGAAGAGTTTTTCACAAGTCAGGAAAGAATGCTTGCTGTACTTGAGTCTTTTCAGCCTAGGAAAGGAGCTTGGTGGGTGATGTAACATTGCTTACGAGCTGAGGAACGTCAGACTCAGGCTACCAGCAGAGTCTGAGCTGACACATTGATGGGAAAAATGCCAAAGCTTTGCGGGTTGGTAATGGGTGACCTTGGCATCACACCTTAGGGGATGCTGAAGCTACGGCATAGGCCAGGGTGGTTCCGTACCATGCACTTAGGTGCTGGGAACCCAGGACTGTGATTAAGATGGTGCTGTAGCTACTCAGAGAAGCTTATCACGGAAAGGCCCAGACAATCCTCAGCACCTCTTATTTCAAAAGTGGATGTAATTTATATACATAGAACGATGTTTAGGCCAGGTACTATGGCACATGCAAGTTCAAGGCCAGCCTGGGCAACTTCGCCAGACTCTGTCTCAAAAAGCCAAACAACCAAACCAAACAAAATGAAGTAAGGGCTGGGGATGTGGCTCAGTGGTGAAATGTCTCTGGGTTCAATCCTTAGTACAAGAGGAGAAAAAAAGTTTTAGAAATTTAAAGTAAGTGCTGACAGTGGCAGGTCTGAAAGTCAACTCAGAGGTTTCTTTCTACCCAGAACCTCAAAAGGGCCAGAAGAATTCACCTGCTGGGGTAGATGTGTTTGAGGAAATGTGTATGCATTTATTAGACACCAGAAGGTGCAAATCCTAATGATTTAAATTATTTCCCTCCTAACACTAGGAAGTATTTCTAGCTGGCTTTAAATATATTTGAACTAAATCTTAAGTTAGTTTTTGCTAGGCAAGTGCTCTACCACTGAGCTACAATCCCAGCCCTTCTAAGTTAGTTCTTCATTTTTTAAACTTTTTTTTAGTTGTAGATGGACACAATATCTGTATTTTATTTATTTATTATTTTTATGTGGTACTGAGGATTGAACCCACTGTCTCATGCATGCAAGGCAAGCACTCTACCATTGAGCTACAGCCCCAGCCTTTAAGTTAGTTCTTTTTTTTTTTTTAAATATTTATTTTTTAGGTGCAGATGGACACAATACAATGCATTTATTTTTATGTGGTGCTGAGGATCGAACCTGGGTCCCGCCTGTGCTAGGTGAGCGCTCTACTGCTGAGCCATAATCTCAGCCCTTAAGTTAGTTCTTTAAAGAGAATTTCAGGCATCTCTTCCCTAACACCCCCAAGGGGGGAAAAAATCTTGTTTGAATAAGTTTTATGTGACTATGACAACTTTTATAACCAGCAATAGTAGTATATAAAACGTTGAGCAAATGGAAATCGTATGTAACAATAGTACATGTGTACATACTTTTTAAGATTACAGGAACTGTGGCTTACTACTAAAAGGCCTGTGACAATAATGGGCAGAAAACTTAAGTATCTGCATAAGAATTCTGTACAGAGAATGTCTTAATAATCCTAGTGAAATGTTCACTTTACTTGTAGAATTGATTATTCTGTCTGACATTAGAGGTATCATTAAGGTGGATGCCCACACACTACGAGCCCCAGCTTACCGGACCCTGAAGACTCCCGTCCTCCCTGTCAATGCTGCCTCGAGATAGCCTCACATCAGGTTTCTATAGAAATAAAAACAGAAATAAGTCTATTTTTAAATTTGAAAACCCAGTGGCAGATTCTGCTCAAAATTCCTTTTTCATTTTTTGGTACCAGGGACTGAACCCAGGGATGCTTTACCACCGAGTCACATCCCTGGCCTGTTTCGTTTTTTTGAGACAAGGTCTTGCTACGTTGCTGAGGCTGGCCTTGAATTCATGATCCTCTTGTCTCAGCCTCCCAAGCCATTGAGATTACAAGTGTGTGCCACCAGGTCTGGCTAAGATTCCTTCCTTCTGTTTGAAATATGATATGTCAAGAGCCTTGTAATGTTTTGAACAACCAATAAAAAAAAAAAAAAAAAAAAAAAAAAGATTCCTTCCTTCTACAATATAACTGTCCTCTGATGTAGCCAACCTCTTTATAGAGCCAATTCCCAGACAGTCTTCCTTCCCCACTGCTGGCCTTCTCTAGTTGAAGTGGTTTCCTTCCACGGGGTCTGTGCTTCCAAGTCCGGAGACAGCCTCGAGTTCTGCACCGATCAGTCAGGCTTGTTTCCACGGTGGGCTGGAAGTGAACTTCTAGGACAGGCTCCCTCTTGTCTTCTGCCCACTTCCCTCCTCCTATGCATGAGGGGGAGTGCAGGAGGCTTGTGACAGACGCTGAGGTCTGGGAACTGGTAGTGTAGGACATGGGTAAAGGAGCAGCTGGGGGCTAATTATAAAGAGAGGACTCTGGGTTGATGAGCATTGTTAAGGATCCCCAGGATTGTCCTGTGGCAGATGTGAAGCTTGAGTGTCACCCCTGAACCCAGGCACACACACTTACACTCACTTATGGAAAAACTTTTTAATAATCAGAGGCCCGAGGAAATAGGACAAAAAGCCCTAAGAGTGAGAAAAGGGCAGAAGGACATGTGACTTGATGTGTGTCCATTTAGCAGAATGAGACCACACCCAGTCCCGTACCTCGCAGGTGCACACGCTCACATTGCTGCCAGAGGTAACTTCCAAGCTGTAAAAATTATGATATTTTTATTGGAAAATATGCATCTAAAAATCATAGGTAAATGTAGGTGGGAAATGACCTAAGTCCTCAATGAGTGTCAAGAAAGCAGAATTCTACAAAGCACGATACAACTGTATCCATAAGGAAACCAGAAAAGATCTGAATAAATACTTCTGAACTCTGAAAAGCAAAACTTAATAAAACTCTATAGGTGAAATTACCTTCTATGTTTACATGTCCTACATACAATATCACTAACTGGTACTTTTTTAGAATATTTTTTTCAGGTGTAGGTGGACATAATGCCTTTATTTTTATGCAGTGCTGAGGACTGAACCCAGTGCTTCACCCACACTAGGTGAGTGCTCTACCACTGAGCCACAGTCCAGCCTCACTCACTGGTACTTTTAAAAGAAAGTTCTTACTGCAAATGTCACAGATCTATAAATCCAGTGCCACACAGAGGCAGAGCAGAGTGGACCACCTCCCAAGACAGAGCAACTGTGGCTGGGTGGGAAATGCACCCAGGAGAGAATTCAGAGGTAGGCAGCCCCTGGCCTGGAGGACAGACTTCCTAGCAGGAGTACCCCCCTGAAGAGATACAGAGCAAGGAAATGTAACAAGAGCCACATTAATCCAATCAGCCATCCCAGCTGGTGAGCCATGGGCAGTGTCTGGGCTGCAGGAACAAAGGCAGCTTTATTCAAGCCTTGGGTCCAAACCCCAGGACACAGTGAGAAAGCTTGTTGCTGGTGCTGCTTTGACTCAAGGTGGACAGTGGAAGAAGGCAGCTGGGTACAGGCAGAGGAGAAGGGGCCTACTTCCTGGATACCTGAGCCAATCTCTAGAGAAAGGTGCTCACTCACTGGGGAGGGCTCCGTCCCCACAGCCCGATACCCTGGTATTGGCCTCTCCCAACACTTCGTACTGAGAATTCAGGTCCAACAGGTGAACTTCTAGGGGACACGCTAGAATCCTAGCAGAGAGGGAATCAGGTTTGACTGTCACTGAAGCAACAATGAGAAACAAACACTTTCCATAGAGAAATTAAGAAACTATAAGAAAACCAAAGGGAAAGATAAAATCCATTTACTCTTCCCTGGAAGAAGTTATTGCGAGTTAACGTATGCTCACAAGCCGAAGCCACATCAGTGGTTTGTAGCCTTCGTGTGGAAACCTGCATGAGGCAAACTCAAAGAGAACTGAGGGGCTAGGCAGCCCTCCTCCTCAATGAATGGCCTGTAAAACAAAGTGGCAGCCTTGGGCATGGACTCTAGGTCAGGGTGGGGTTCAAATCAGTTCACAACAAGCAATGTGGCCTGGGCCCATGTCCCTTCTACAAAGACAGATCTGTGACTAAGTCCCTGATGATTTCCTGGGATGGATTTCTAAGAAAGGAATTATTGCTGCTGGGCGTAGGTCTGGGAACTTGAGAGTCTCGATGTGAGCTTCCACATAGAAGGCTTCTCTTCTGGTGTCACACCATATGGCAGCATGTCAAAACTCTGCCCATCCATAGGCAGAAAACTGTCGGTTGGTGAACTCTGTCCCTCCTGCCCTGTCTTCTGAGGACACCTGGATGCTGGTGGGGGAAAGTGTCCTGGGCCTTCCTCCTTGAGCCAACTGTCTCTGCCCCTCTGGACATGGGCCAAACCCTCTTCTATGTAGCTGTTGCGGCTGAGGCAGTGCATGGCAGGGCGGGTGAGCATCAAAAGCTTGCAAAGGCACACTTAGTTGCTGGGGGCAACACAGCCTTTAAATAGTGGAGGTGGGAGTCAATCAAGCAAACAAAACATGTATGTCTAACGTATTCTTTCACTTACAGTCATCTAGTGCTCCATGGAACCAATAGAAACCCCTGTTTAAGCTCCTTCCTCATACATGGCCTGTGTGAATGCAAGATGCCACACAGAGGGTTGGAGTGATGTAGGCAAAACCAATCAAAAAGCAGATCCTGGGCTGGGGTTGGGGCTCAGTGGTAGAGTGCTTCCCTAGCACATGTGAGGTAGTGGGTCTGATCCTCAGCACCACATAAAAATAAATAAAGATACTGTGTTTATATACAACTAAAAAAAAAATATTAAAAAACAAACAAAAAAAGTCAGATGCTGGGTTTGTTCTGTGCCTGAGTGAAGTCCTCTCTCACCCCCTTACAGAAAGTTCTAAGGATGTACAAAGATACAATGCAACAATTTATATTTAAAAATCTTTTTTAAAAAAATATTTATTTATTTATTAATTTTTTCGGCGGACACAACATCTTTGTTTGTATGTGGTGCTGAGGATCGAACCTGGGCCACACACATGCCAGGCGAGCGCACTACTGCTTGAGCCACATCCCCAGCCCCTAAAAATCTTATACAAATAGATCACATAAATACAGAATGTTTGGGATGAACTGACCATGTTCCCTAGCAGATATATGCTCTTTAGAAACATTTAATAATAGGGCTGGTGTTGTGGTTCAGTAGTAGAGCCACTGTCTAGCAAATGCAAGGCCCTGGGTTCGATCCTCAGCACCACATAGAAATAAATAAAAAAATAAATGTCCAACTATAACTAATAAAAATATATTTTAAAAAATCTGATTAGAAAGTGCATAGCTCAACACATGTTTCTGTAGGTGCAAAGCACACCACCTGGATCAAGATATGAAGCAGGGGATCAGCAGGCTCCCACACACCCTGCCCTAGGCCTAGTACAGGGACCACACCTCTCTTCTAGCCCGAGATCACTCCCACCTGTCTCTTTTCTGGTGGACTGAACTTGAAGCCTTGTGGGGGGCAGTCTGCTCTTCCTTATGCTGCACAGAGTTCCATGGTATGAACATCAGCAGGCGAGGAGGTCGTTTCCAATTCCTGGCCGCACAAATAAAAGCTGTGGAAGCATTCTTTTATGTCTAGGCATGTGTGCTTAATCCCCTTGGGCACATGTCAGAAGGGCGAATGCTGGGTCACAGGCAGCAGCCATGTTCCCACCAGGGGTAAGCCAAGCTCCAGCTGTTCTGGGTCTGGACAGCTACAGACTCCAAGCTCATGTTGCTGTTACTCTAGAAAATGACAAACTTTAGACTTTTGGCTCAAAGTCCTTTCTCCTCTGATTACACTCTGCAGCCGTAGACCGGGAAGTTTGCAGCAGGGCGGTAGCCAGTGCAGAGGCTGTCCTCAGACAGTGACCGTCCACTGCTACTCTTTAGCTCCCATCTTGGCACTCCTCCTTCTTAGGGACTGACTGCTCTGCTGTGTGTGGGGAAAATAGCTCTCCACTCCTGATTTCCTTTCTCAGAACACAAAGCAGGCTTTATATGGCAGAACTTTCATTTTAAAGTTAAGATCCTTTTTTAGTATAGTGCCACATTAGAAAATTACCCTGCACACAGTAATAAAAAAGAAGCCAATTTACTATTTTCAAGCAGGGCTTGGTAGGAAAGACAGGCCTCTCTACAGACTGAGGCCCACCTGCTGCCAGCACCTGGCAAAATGGCCAGTTTGCAGAACTCAAATTTTGACAGTAGATTCTCAGACATGGCACCATTCTTTCTGAGTTAGGGACAGGAGGGAGGGTGGTTCAGGACATACCATCTTGAGGCCACAGGATGTCAGGCAGGAGTCATGGGGCTTCTGCTACACAATTAACTAGTGCTGGCCTCACAAGGAAGAACGGGAGGCTGGCTCACAGGGCTGGCAATAGTAGGCCCTCACTCTGGCAGCCACTGGATCTTAACCCAGAAGGATGGGGTGGTTACATGTTAGAAATACTACTGCATGGGGCTGGGGCTGGGGCTCAGGGGTGGAGCACCGGCCTAGCACATGCGAGGCACTGAGTTCGACCCTCAGCACCACATAAAAATAAATAAACAAAATAAAAGTATTGTGTCCATTAACAATTAAAAAAAAATATATATATATATTAAAAAAAATACTACTGCACTACTGTAGGAAATAGCCTGGAGGGGACAATGTTTCAGAGAAGACTTCAACTCAGTTCATTTATTCTTATTTCTTTGCAGTGCCAAGGATTAAACCCAAGGCCGCATGTGTGCTATGGGAACACTCCACCACATGGCCGCCCCAGCCCTTGTCCAGCTGTGGAATGCCCTGGGTCTCAGCTGTCCTGACTTTCCTCACCCAAGACCTGCTCTCCACTCAGAGTCTCCAACGGCTGGCTCCCCAGCTGGCCACTCATTGAGCCTGCTGGCCCCTCAGTGGGACACTCCCCTCCAGATTCTTTTCAGACCACCCACCCAGCACTGCCCACCAGATCACAAGGTCTATGAGTAAGGGGACAGCTGCTCACAGGAATCTGCAAGGAGCCCACTGAGCAGGGCTGGTCCAGGGTGAAGTGGGGTGACGGACTCAGACAGTTGGAAGGTAGACAGCAGAGGAGAGGCTCAGGAGGGACTCAGGAATCCGAGCCAAGCATGTGACACGAACATGAGAGGAGAGACAGAAAGTACAACACTTCAGTTTCTAAGAGCCAGGGGAGTAGAGTTTGTTGGAAATGCTCCAGGTTCAGTTGCAGACCTGGAGTCTGATGCCCACATCTGAGATGGGACAGGAAGCACTCACCCCATTCCATGAAACAAGTAAGGTTTGGATCTTGAAAACAGCAATGACCATGGATAAATCATTCTCATTTATCAATACCACCACGGAATTCCAAATTAAGCAAAGCAAATCCTGGAAGAATCACGTCCTAGACTCAGACAGGTATCCGTCCTAAACACAGGATGAGCGCTACCCAAGGAAAAGGTGTGCATGATTGGACAGGGGAAATCTTCCAGAAAAATGTAGTAGGTTTAAGACACAGAGACGAGACTGTACTTCATGGAGAACTATCACAGAAAACATACAACTTCAGAAAGAAAAGCAGGTATAGACAAAAATGCAGGAAAAACCCCCAAATTCAAAGGCAGGCAACATGTGCTTCAGGAGACAAAAACCAAGATATAAAGGAGGGGCTAGGGTTGTGGCTCAGTGGTAAAGTGCTTCCCTAGCATGCGTGAGGCACTGGGTTTGATCCTCAGTACCACATAAATAACACTAAATAAAGGTATTGTGTCCATCTACAACTAAAAAAAATGTTAAAAAAGAAAGATTTTATATATATGAATGAGGTAATGAGTACTGAACTGGGCATCCAAGGAAATCAATAAAGGCCTTCTTGAGATACATTATTAGAAAATGACAGGATATTCCTAAAAAATCAATGGCCTTTGCACAGAGAATACATAGCTAAAAAAGGTCAATGACAATGAGGAGCTATTATGGTTGAAAAAGCAAGCTGTAAAGCCACCTGGGAGAAGGTAGAAAAGTGGAGCCAGGGCAGACTCAGATGCCTGCTGCTGAAGGACGGTGAGGGGCACACTGAAGAACACAGGTAGCCACATAGGCCATCATGTGACCTGTGTTAGAGTGCTTGGGGATGTATCACCAGTGTTATGGGGGTTGTGCACACACAGAGAAAGCTGCCCGGACATCTGGTCACATTCTAGGTAGAGCAAGGGTCACACAGGTCTAGGCCTCTGTCAGAAGGCCTCACATTAGCTACATGTGGCAGGGCACACCTGAGATCCCAGCGACTTAGTTGAGGTAGGAGGACGGCAAGTTTGAGGCTAATCTCAGTAACTCAGCAAGACCCTGTCTCAAAATAAAACTTAGAAAGTTCCAAAAGGATCTTGGTGTTGGGCTGGGGCTGGGCTCAGTGGTACAGCGCTTGCCTGGCATGTGTGAGGCAATGGGTTCAACTCTCAGCACCGCATATACATAAATAAAAATAAAGACCCATTGACAACTAAAATAAATAAATAAATAAATAAATAAGTGAGTGAGTGAGTGAATGAATGAATCTTGGTGTCTAGGAACACAGAGGTTTCTCTGCTCCAGCACTTCCTTTTGGTCCCCAAGGGACTTCTAAAGGTCACCTGAAGGAAGACATTTCTCATTCCCAAGTCCAGCTGCATCTGGGGCAGGGCTGTGAGGCCGTGCTGCAGAGGAGTGCAGGCGCCCTGCAGTACTGCAAGCTGACACCAGGTGGGATTCTCTGATGTGAACAGTGAGGTCATGAAAAGCCACAGAGCATAATGAAACCTAAAGACAGACCTCGATGAGCAACTGAGAAAGCAAATGACTCACTGGTGCACATTTCAGGGACCAGATGTGAAACGAAGTCTGTTTGGATAATGTAAAAATTTTGCAATTACATGCAATATAGTAGACCCTAATGGGATTTCAAAGTGGAAGAAACTGCTCTGAAACATGATTACCAGAAATCTCTCCTCTTTCTCCAGCCAGCGCTGATCTTCTTCCATTTCCTGCTGCTGTCGGATCAGTCGCTCTTCCATCAGGTGGGCGGGCAACACCTGCCCCATTCCTCTCAGGTCCAGTGATGTCGAGTCCTGGCAGGAAAGATGGAAACAACATGCCCACTCTCATGAGGCTGCTTGTGTGCCCCTGCTTTGAACCAAAGCAAAGCAGCAAGGGTGGTGGAAACAGGGCCTCTCATGCTCCAGCCTTGTCCCTGTAGGCTGAAGTTTACTGTGTGTCAAAGATTCCGTTGGAGGGACTGGGATTGTGGATCAGTGGTAGAACGCTTGCCTAGCATGTGTGAGGCACTGGGTTCGATCCCTGGCACCACATAAAAATAAACAAATAAAATAAAGTTATTGTGTCCATTTACAAATAAAAAAAAATTAGGAAAAAAAAAAAAGATTCTCTTGGAATTCCCAGCTCTGGAGCCATTCCTCTTTGAAGAAGTCTACCTCTGTATCTCTGTCACTTTTTCAACAAAACCTACTTCTTACTTGCTTGTGGGGTTCTGTTCTAAAGAAATAAACTGAGAATGTGTACAAAGAAGGCAGCATTACCTATAGTCAAAAAGCAGAAACAACCAGGACGTGGACAGCAGCACTGAACATGACACACACAGTTATGGAGCATCACAGAGCCGCTCACCTCGAGCACTCCCAGGAAAGGGACACGGACTACAGACAGCTGTGGATCTTCTCTGACTCAAATGAATGATTTTCAACCCTAGGACAGTGGGTCTTATGAGGGAAACTGAATAAAAATGAACACAGCCCAAAGAACTGGTCCTGTCAGCTTGCCTTTCCTCTGGCCTCAGGCACGTGCTAATAAATACCTGAGCACTCCCCTCAGGTATTTCTTTTAACTAAAAAAACCCTCACAAAACCAGAAAACATTTGAGCAGCTGGGGAGTCTTGATCTTAGAATTCAGTCTTCAAAATCAAGCAGTCAGACTTAGAAATATGAGGTGTCTCACTTCCTAAGTCAAGAACACAACTTACCTCCATGTTGGGCTGCCATAGGGGTATCTCCTGGGGCCTATGATTCCACGATTCTGATTGGTCCAAGAGAGATGCTGGGCCGGGGTAGATGCTGCCAGCCATGGCTGTGAGTCCATGTGGACCAGGGTAGCCAGACACCTGTGAGTGGGACAGGAGGAAGGAACATTTCCATAACCCAGCTTCTGTGTGATTCTGTGTGATTCTGCTTTGCAGGGGAAGTGACCTGGAGCACTTTATACTAGGCAGACGGTGACCCCTCCCAGAATGTCCAGGTCCCAATCCCTTGAACATGACAACAGCTCTCTAACGGGGCAATGTGCAGATGCAACCCAGGCTAGGGCCCTAGTGTGGCAACTGCCCTGGACTACCTGAGTGGCTCAATGTGACCCCAAAGGTCCCTGGGTACAGAGGGAGCAGAAGCTGAAGAACAGTCAGAGTCAAGTTCCAGTTTTATACTTGGGTCACAGGGACCAAGAGCCAAAGAACACAGGCAGCTCTTAGAGAACCTGGCAGAGCAAGGAAAGGGACTCTCAACAAGAGCCCCGAGAAAGGCAGTCTGGCTGCATTAGACAACTAAAGAAAATGCACTAGGAAATGAGAAGTCATTCACTTTGGAATTTTACGACTATAGAAATGCTCAGATCAGACTCTCTCTGCATATAAAAGCCAGAGGAAGCCATAAAAACAGCTGTGCCACAGCCACAAGAAACTTGTCCTCCAATGAAGGAGGGCCTGATGGTGGAGGGGTTGTGCCTTCTCACAGTGGGACATGGAGAACTCCAGGCATGAGGAGAGCTGAGGGGTCTTTCCCCACAGGCCCCCTCTGGATGGAGGCTCAGTGAGCAGACATAGGATCTATTTACATAGAGCATCTGCTGGTATGGGATGGCCAGGGTGGCCAGTTAAATTTTTAATGAGATAAAGCAGAGCCAAATCCATATGTTCAAACACCCACACGTACCTCATGCTCATTTACTAGGTCTCCAGACGTGAATCATACCAAATCCCACATGGACAACATTAACCAGCAAGTCTCCATGTAAGATACATAGAGAGCTCTCATTTTTTCTGAATAAAAATATCTTAGAAAATCCTAGTAAGCACAAAATGCTGTGTTGCTACTAGTTTGGGTGAAAAATGATACATACTGCCAGAGAACTTTCAGGAATTCTCAGGACAAGAAGTTTTGAATTATTTAAAACTATTTTCTCCCCCAACCCCATTATTTGGAGAATACTTTATTAGTTTCTATAATCAAACCCATGAAGACCTTACATATTTATACAGTGCATTAACCCTGTACAAATGGAAAAAAGTTAACTTTAATGTTTCTAGACTAATATGTTTGTTAATTTCTCTACAAAGCAACTCAACATGGTAAACTGGGGTACTTTTCCCAAAGCTGACAGCCCAGCTAAAGTTTCCAAAAATCCAACGTGTGTGTGTGTGTGTGTGTGTATATTCAATTTCTTTAGTGTTACATAGTTTTAATTGTTAGCTTGATTCCCAAATATTTTATTTTCTTTGAGGCTATTGTGAATGGGATAGTTTTCCTAATTTCTCTTTCAGTAGATTCATCACGATGACTAAGAATGGAATTGACTTATAGGTGTTAATTTTAAGCTGTTTTCTAAATAATACTGGCCATGTGGAAGAACCAGTGGACACCTGAGGCTAAAAGGGAATACAAAGAGACACCAGCAAAGGCACTATAGCTGGCCTCACTGATGGGACAGGAAAACGGCTTGGTGAGGCTCACCGACCATCTGTTCAGTGATGACAGTCTTATTTTGCTGCTTATGTGCTGCCTACGCACTTAGCAAGTCACAGAAGTCAGAAGAGTGCTGCTCCCAGGGCAGGTGTGACATTCTGTGAAGGGCACGAGGGGCCTCTGGGGCCTGTCCTGGGAGGTGGGCATGGGACAGAAGAGTGTTGGCATTGGTCAGAACCCAGACTTGTGCACTTCACAGCAGACAACGCAAGCCAACAAAAGCTAATCCATTCCCTCAAGAACAAAGACAGATACTACTGACTGCTTTAGGTCCTCTACTAAGGTGCTCCTTTCTCACCTGTGCATGGTACTGGCCGGCACGTCCAGCGTCCCTTCCACACTAAGACAGTACCTTGTCTGATTTGTTACAGTCATTTTAAATTTTATATTTGTCTTCTGGAAAAAACTGATGTTCAGTATTACCTCTGCATAATGCGTATCTACTGGTTCCAACTTGTGCCTTGCAAGAGCAAGTAGGAGAGAATGGCATAAGAACTGCTGGGGCACCAGCCTGTCTCATTAAGACTGTGAGGACATGTATGCCTTGCATGGTGTCCACAGACAACAGTTACGTAGGCAATGACCAGGTGAGAACTTTCCTAGGCCACTCACCAAAATGAGTAACAAATACAAAATAGAAATATACACACCACGTACCTCCCCATCAGCAAAGTATGGAAAAGCCAAGTAACACACTTCACTTCTGCAATGGCAGTACCTGATAATGATTGCTCTGCACCATGTGCTGTGGACTGGGGTAAAATCCTTCACTGGAGCGAGGACTAGGGTAACCAGGTCTGCTGGGCTGTGAAGAAATCAACAGTGTATCATATGAATGAACATTTACAGGTCTAAGTTTTACAGAAATAATAGGAAAATATATCTCTAACAAATAGCTTGGTTAAAAGCAATGATAAAGGGCTGGGGTTGTGGCTTGGTGGTAGACTGCTCACCTAACATGTGTGAGGCACTGGGTTTGATCCTCAGCACCACATAAAAATAAATAAGTAAAATAAAGTCATTGTGTTCATCTACAACTAAAGAAAAATATTTTTTTAAAAAGCAACAATAAAAATGCTAAGATATTTCAATGATGAAAGAAGACCCCTGCATGTGAAAAAGGCTGATTATTCCTTTATCACACACAAAAATTAACTGAAGGTGGACCACAACCTAAATGAAAGAGTGAAAGCTCTAAGATTCTTAGGAAAAGGACACAGGGGCAAATCTTTGTGACCCTGGGTTAGGCAACAGTTTCTAAACTACAAGACCAAAAACACTTAACAAAGGAGGAGAGAGGATAAGAAGGACATCATCAAAAACACAAAGCGTGTGTTGCAAATAATACCACCCAGAGCAAGCACACAATCCAAAGGACGCAAGAAAATGCTTGCCAATACTTTATCTATCTTCCAGTTGTAGCTGGACACAATACCTTTATTTTATTTATTTATTTTTATGTGGTGCTGAGGATCAAACTCAGTACCTTGCACGTGCTTAATAAGCAAGTGCTCTACTGCTGAGCCCCAGCCCCAGACACAGCCCTTGCCAGTACTTTATCTAAGAAACACGTTTGAACATACAGAGACTCTGAGCAGGTTGGTGGTGAGATGGCAAAAGGTGCTACTAAAGAGTGGTGGGGGCACAAGCAGCCCCCAGAGAGAACAGGAAAGGTGCTCAGCTCCTGAGGCTCTAGCACACCACCACCTTGAAACCACAGTGAGCTTCTGCTTGTAATCGCTGCAATGGTTTGATGAAAACAGAGAAAATGTAAAAAAATCCAGGATGTAGAAAAATGGAAACCTTTTAGCACTGTTGCTGGGAATACAGACCAGGGCAGCTGCTGTGGAGGGCAGTCAAGGGACGGCTCTAGCACCCCAGAGGTGGGGATGCATAGCAGAGAAGTGCAGCCCACATCTGGGCCAACACGGCTCTCAAAGGCATCATCTGCAGCAGCCAGAGAGGGAGCATGACTACCTGCAGGAGAGGAGAACACACGCAGCACACCTACAGGGGAGCACCATGTGGCCCTGCGTGCTGACACAGACCATGACACAGAGAAACCTTGGCATGTGCTGAGAGAAGAACCGCTTACAAGGAACCACAGTGATTCCACCCATAGGGTGTCCAGAGTAGGAGTCGTGCAACAGCAGGCATAGGAACAGGGAGGGTGTGCCTCGAGGAGCCAGACACTTGGGGGGGGGGGTCACTGTGGAAGTGGGTTCACAACTCTGAACACACAGAAAAGCTGTGTGCATGGTCTTGGGGGTAGGTTGGTCATGAATTCTGTCCCCATGAAGCTATTAAACTGCCACCAGTGAAGGAGACTCGCCATACTGGGCATGCCCTCTGTCGCCTGCCTGCTCTGGTGCTCTCTGCCGTGCCCTCCTGGGCAGTGATCCACCTGCCGAGCCTCATCTTCCTCACTATCAGGCAGGTGGAGCTGGAAGAGCTCTCCAGCCCCTTCCAGCACTGAGGATCTCAATTCCAGCTTCTGAGATAAGTGAATTCAAGTTCACAGCAAAGGGAGAGTTTAGTTTGAAATAAGAGGGGAAAACAAGGGAAGTCCACAAGGTCTTACATGACACAGGGATTCAACCAGGTGGGAATACACTGGTCTCAGAGGAGTTAAGACCAGAGTATAAAGGACGTGGACTGGCGTCCAGCAAGTGGGACACTGAAGACTCTGTGGCACCGTGTCCCCTGGCACTGGTGCTGGGTGGACTCAGGCTTTGCTCTTGCACTGTGCCCAAGGCCTGGAACATCCACATCTCCACCTGCGGGACACTTCCCATCCCATGAGTCTTTAACAAAGGTCTCCTGGTCCTGCCGGCCTTGGGGAAACTCAGGTCCTCTGCTCCCCTTGACTCAGGGGCAGGGCCAGCATTTCTATACTCGCTTTGGCCCACCAAGGAGCCACTGACTTCTTGAGGACAGGAAGGTTCCCTTACCCCTCAGGCCCTCAGAGATTCGGCCCACTCCAAACTTAACTGAATGTGAGCATGAACTCCTCAAAGACCCCTGCAGCAGGAAACGGTCTGAGGGGTGTTCTAGGCTCCTCTCTATTCCTGCCAAAGCGGCAGCTTACAAAGTGTGTTCCTTGGGGCTAAGGGGCTGTATGCAGATTTACATCTTTAAAGATTTAATTTGAAAAAGTGGTTGTGGTGATTTAAAAGAGGTTTCAAAGGGAAGAGTGTGACTTCCTCTGTACACTGAGACTGCTGTGGCAAGAGCTGTTTAGAGGAACGTGCCAATAAGTAAGCAGTACCATAACGGCTGCACGGGAAAGACGTCCTGGATCCTGTGAGGAAGGACGCAGAGCCAAGAGCTGGGGCAACAGACGGAGCTTCCCAGACACAGGGCAATATCCACGGCTTAAATTCTGAAAATGGCACATAAGTAAAAGGTACGGAAATACAAACAGCCGCCATTTACTCAGTGTATACTGCACATAACCTCTGAAGGGCTTTTACATACAAGTAAAATCTGTCGATGAGCCATACATTTTACCTAGGTTCAGAGAAGGCTGGTGATTTGAATAAAGTCACACAGCTAGTAATGGCAGAATTCTAAAATCTGCTGCGCCATCATGCTTCTATGAAGTGCACTTGACTCAAACAAAAAGGAACATAGCAAAGAAATAAAAATGGCAAAAGCTCTAAAAAAACCCCCAAACAAACAAAAACCATCTTGCAGTGACTCAAAAAAATAGAGGTGAGTGATAAAACCTATAAGGCTCCATTTCAAAATAACAGGTAAGAAGATGGAAAGGTTCTATGACGATGAAGTGACTGCACCAAGGGTGCCCAGAGTCTAATGCTGTGGAGAGGACCAAGGTCAAGGCCAGGAAAAAGGTGGGTGCCAAGCCAGATTCTAGCTGTCATTAAGACAGTGTCCATGTCACCGAGCACTGTGACCCGGGAGGGTCAATGCACCTCCCCCTCCAAGAAAACTGGGGTTTTCACCTGAAAGAATGTGTGGTGGAGGGGATTTTGCCAACTCTCCTGAGGGGGATGAGAGAAAGATAGGGCAACCCTCGGGGCATGCAGGGCACTTGTGAGGTACTCCTGTCGGCCACGAGGACTGGGTGGGGGACTGGCGGGCAGTTTCTAGCAAACATAGGGATTCCCATGTCACTCAACTTCATCTAGGTGACAAAACACAGAGTCACAAACTCCATTGGAGCCCAGAAGCGGCTCTGCGTTTCCGTTAACACAGGTGACACTTTGTGGGGCCTGTCAGTTTACTTTCCAGGACTGCAACCACTGGGAAGAAACGTGGCCTCCTATAGTGTGTAGATGGGATAAGAAGAACTGAGGATGGGCCCAGGCCCTCGGGCAGAACTCTGCCTGGGAGCTGCCGCCCAGCTGTAAGCCTTAGCCATGAAGTACAGTGAAGCTGTTGAGTCTTGGATAGTAGAAAGACATTTCTGCTTAAAAAACTAAGGAAGCCATGGGGCTGGGGCTTCAGCTCAGCAGTAGAGCACTTGCCTAGCATGTGTGAGGCACTGGGTCGATCCTCAGCACCACATAAACTAAAGATATGGTGTCATTTAAGACTAAAAAACATATTAAAAAACAAATCAATGACAAAAAAAAAAAAACTAATGAAATCATATTAAAATTTTTTTGTTTGTTTTTTTGATGCAGTGTTGGGGACTGAACCAGCACTAGGCAAGCGCTCTGCCACATAGCTGTACCCCCAGCCCCATGTTTTACTAGTACACAAAATTTATCTACAAAGTTAGGAAATCCAAGTGGGATATATCCTGAGGTATCACAGTTGGAGTGAGGAAAACCCACGGGTTCCACAGAGTCCCCATCTTGTGGGGCAGAGTAAACCACAGTGCTGGCCCACTACCTCGGAATAACAGACTCACTTTAGAAACGGCAAGGACTGTGACTATAAATGCAGAACCTGACCCTGACAGTGAACTCTGGGAAGGAACACACTGCACATGCGACTTGATTCTGCCTGGTGTAGAGGAGAGCCCGGCTCACTGCCTGGGATCACCCCACACCTGTGATGACATCCCAAGTCTGGCTGACAGGACCAGGCAGATGGCTGCTGCTGCAAACACATGTGGTACAGGGAAGAACCTCCGCCTGTAGACAAGGGCTTCAGACGCACATTCCAAAGACATTTCAAAGAAAGAGAAAGTGAAAGCAACAGACAGAACGATGTTTAAAAAGATCAGTGCAATGGCTCTTGTATGCTAAACCAAGAAAAGCCAAGCCAGCTCTACCTCGTGGCCCTAATTTAAAAGTCAAATATAAATGATAAACCAACAGATTGGGATATAAAAAGATGCTTAGAGGCTGGTATGTGGCTCAGTGATAGAGAGCCTGCCTGACACCGGGGAGGCCCTGGGTTCTATCCACAGCACACCAGAGGAAAAGAAGGGAGGAAGAGAGAGAAAGAGAGAGACAGACAGGAGAGAAAGAAATATTTAGATGAAAAAAGTTCTTCAATTCCATGAGTTCCAGGGCAGGCAGTGTGGCACCGTGTGGTGCTTGTCACAGAACACTGAGGTTTCTATACTTCAGTGTGCCAAGAGGAGAGCCGAAGGGTGAATGATCTCACAGCACGTCCCACTGGCTGGAGGAAAGTGAGGTGTGCAGTATGGAGGTAACTACCCCGATCGGCAGCAGAGCATGATCAAGACACGGTTCTCCTGCCTCCCAGCACAGTGCCATTGTGCAGCTGCTACAGAATTGAAACACAGGCCAAGTGTGGAGACCAGGAAGAGGGGCTCCGTGGGAACCAAGGAGTCATGCTGTTGTTAAACTAGGAACAACAGAAGAATGCTTGGGCCTTCCCTGGAGTGGGGTGCTTTTCTTTCTCTGCAGAGGGGCTGGGCGGAGGCCCCTTCACCCCTCCATTCTGCAGGACTGTGCTCACTACCCATGCTCACCTTCAATGTGATGCCAGGTTTACTGCTACATGGCTCAACAAGAAAATAAGTTTTCAGGCATCATGTTGAATGGTTCAATACTTAAATTATATTGTGTTGGCAGATTTGTGAATAGTTTTTAAAAAGAAGATGAATACTTAATTAAAGTCATATTTTTAGCTAATCAATTATCAAAGAACAAGTAACTATTAACTGCAAAAAAGCCTGTTATTTTTTTGGCTTTCCAGAAAAAGGTCTGATAGGCATGTTCACGACCAGTACACCATGGTGTGAAAAGCCACTCTTTGGAATGGCGCAGAAAGACTCGATCACTCAAAGCATCAGGGGTCAACTCTACTGAAACCCCAGCCATGGCAGAAGGCTATAGCTGCGATCCTGGGTGGGAGAAGACAAAAGAAGGAGGGACCCGGGGACAGTGAGCAGGCAAGGTGCGAGGCAGGCCTCTCTGAGGAAGGAAAGCAAGAACCACGTGCTCCCACACAGATACCCCAGCCGCAGGCAGAAAATGTACATGGTGTACTCAGCAAATGGAGACAAAGCAAAGGGGACATGGTCAGGTGGGACTGGACTCATTTATAATACAGTGAAACGTGAGGCGTCTGTGGCCCAGTTTCATGTTTAGTATGACCGATTATTAGGGAGACCCCTGACAGTCAATGAAAGAAAAGGTTCCTCCACGGTGGAGGAGGGAGGTGCAGAGGAAAGGGAGCATACTCTACGGTCATAAACAGCCTCCACCTGAAATGCAAATTATGGAAAAGAACACAAGAGGGTGACCTGCAGAGGGACGAAGGGAACACTGGTTGCAACCGTACTCTTTTCTCCTCAAAGGAAACAGCTATCTACAGCACAGACTTCAGAAGGCACTTAAAGAGTCACCCCCAGCTGGGGTGGGGATGGTGGCTACCTTGGGTGGTGCTTCGTCGGACCCTCCAGAGTCCCAAGACACGGTGGCCTGTCTTCTGGACTCCATCCTCATCCGTTCTTCCTGTTGAGCCTTCTCTTCCTCCAGGATCGTGCTAGAGAAAACACACTGAATCAGGGGGCTGAGAGCCAGAGCAGCACCCATCATAGCCCACCCTGCCCCTCCAGGAACACACCTGGACCCTAGTGGAGGACACTCATAAAGAAAGGGGAACGCCGCACTGGGTTCCTAACCCTGAGCCAGGACGCTAGAGCAGCCTTGGTTCTCAGGGGCACAGGGAAGAGAGAGGCTGGTGAGAGTGGAGGACTGGCCAAGGGGAAGCATCTATACGCCGAAGTGCACTCTGAGCAGATCAGAAAGACCCGAGCAATCCCACACAGCCCTCGTCAAGCAGCTACACACATGAGGCAAAATCTGGACAGACACACTCCCACAGAATATGACCTCACCAGCACGTTATGTGATCAATTAGCAAGTTGGCCAACAACTTCCTCAACTGCTCAGTACAGTAGTCCTACTAATTCTCAGCTTAAAAAGTACTTTATCTGGCCAGGAAAATAAGGAAGACTACAACAGCACTTACAAGTTCTTCAGAAAATACCATCTGCCCTGAGCTGGAAGCGCTACACTTACCCCGGCTGTGCAGAGGTTGAGGTCCCACAAGACTGCCAAGACTTCGACTTCTCAGGCAGAGGGGGCGGGGCGAGGCTTAGCTAGCTCCCCAGGCCACACGCACCCCCCAGGCTCAGTGGGCCCAGTGGGTCTTTGAAACTCTCGTCCTAAGCCTAAGCGGCAGATAGTGCTTTCCTCCGTGCCTGTAGCTCCAAGTTCTAATAATAGAGCTCATTCAAAGTTTCTGGCCCCTGGCAGGCAGAATGCAGTAAATAACCACCCAGAATTATTCAGGAAAGAGTGACATCAGCGGCAGAGCCTCTTTCTAATCTGGGAATTTGTTCAACTGTTCATAAAGACATTCCTGTAGAGGTGGAGCCTGGCTCTCACTCAGGCACCTTCCCAATCAGGAGGACAGACAAGATTCATTTCCTAGCTGCCCTGAGTCAGAAAACCATCACTGCAGACCTTAAAGACATTTTTCCTCAAAAGGAAAGGAAATATTCTCCTCAAGGCAAGGATCATATTACCACTTTAAAGAAAAGCTTTCAAGGCTGAGGCCCACCCTCTGCTCCCAGCCTCTGGTTTCCTTCCCACTTAAAGACTGTGGTCAAGCAAACAAACACTAAGCCACCTCCATAACATGCAAGAATCCCTCAGCAGCCTCCCAAGAAAGGCACTCTGGGTGCCTGGCTGAGGGTGAGTTCCAGGTGAGCCCAGGCAGCGTTTGGGGAGGGAGCCCTGGGCATGTGTTTAAGGTGCTCTGGTTCAGGGTAAAGGGAGATTCAATAGCCAGAAAGAGAATAGCAGTGCCCTTGCAGAGAAGGAGGGTGGGTTCTGTCTGGAGTGTCCCTGGCTGCACAGGCATCAGCCCAGTGCCATTATAGGCCCTGTAGAAGCCAGGAAGAGGATTTCTAGCAAGCTACCAGGGCAAACCCATCCAAGCACATAAGCATTACATGACTAACGCTTGGCAGTGCACTCTGTCCACTCTGTGTGGAAATAAACATCTTTACATTTAAATTTTCTTTACGTTCATGACCTAGAGCCCCGTGTTACCCTTTGAAACCATGCCTGCCACATAGTTGACACTTAGGCATCTGCTGGATGAACAAAGGATTCACAGTGAGTGGGTGAGACACACACATTCCAAGGACCCAGCAGATAAGTGACTTGGCTGGGACTCAGCTCATCAGTAATGACAGCTGTAATGAGTAGTCAGGTACAGGGAAGGAGCCTGAGGTCTGAGTCAGACTGATGTGGGGTTCAAGTTCTGCCAGACAGGCTGTGACCAGACAACTTGATCCCTCCACACCTCATCCACAAAACGGGGCGCCTCCCTAACCACCCCTAACTACTGACCTTGAGGGTTACTGTAAAGATAAAATAAAATTCAGACAATCTCTGTAAAGTGCACCAAAACCCAAGAAGCTTTTAAAAATGAAAAGAACTATGCCAAAATCCCCATGAAATAGCATTGCCCAATGGCTAACGGCTAGCATTCCCACAGGCGCTGCAAGTATTTTAAATGAGTTAAGCAGCAATTAGAGCTTGAGGCATGAAAAGAGCAACCATCCAATCTCTTACTGAAGTGTTTACAGTGCAACTTTCATGAACCTGCTAGAATAGTTAGATACTGGCGCCTCCGGCTAGCCAAGAACGTTGCCACCATCGGGGACAGGTGAGTCTTGGGCAGGAGCTAAAACAGCTCCACAGCAGAAACCTGGCAGATGCCCCTTAATGTCTCAGGGCACAGAACAAAGGTACACCCCTCTAAGGCTGTTGGGGAGGATGGAGACGGGTATCCGTGGTAGTTCACTCTTCCAAAGTGATGTGGGTGCTCTCTTTGTTCCCCTCTTCCTCCGAGCCAGGAAGAGGGGCCATCATATTCTCCACCACCTCTCCTGGAACACCTTTCTCTCCTCTGCCTGGCCATGCTTGACTTATGTCTCAAATGTCCTCCATAACATCTTCCCCAAGCTTCCAATTCCCTTCAGGCTGTCCGTTCATGTTCAGAACTGGCACGGCCCTGAATCACATCATGCATGAAGAATTGCCAGGAGTGGCCAAGTGACGCCCAGGAGCAGAGAGGGTCTGCTGACCAGTGTGGAGGACCACACTGCAAGCCTCCAGCACTGGCCAATGGTGAATCAGGAGAGGACCACACTGCAAGCCTCCAGCACTGGCCAATGGTGAATCAGGAGCAGGCTGCTTTCTTTGAGATGGTTCCTAGGGATCAGAGTCAGTCTGAGACCACAACACAGTCCCAACTGGCCCTAGGGAGAAGCACATCCCTTTAGCAGTTTCCAGGTGCCCTGCTCTTCATCACCTGACCCTTAAAGCAAATAGCAGAACCTGAATCCTAACATTTTAAGACTTAAAAAAAAAAAAAAAAAAAAACCTTAAAAGCTTTTAAAGTCTTTAAAAAATCAAGGGAAAAAAAATCAACACAAAATAACTTTTAAAAGTCCTTTCTTTTATTTCTCCATATGATTAAAATACAGGCAAGCTGCTATAAGACTAAACAGGACATTTCTTCCAGGCAAGACAACTCTACTTTAAATAGGTCCCACTGTGCCATTTTATGTCACATGGGTTGTCTAATCTTGTAGCTGTGTCCCAAAGACTGCATCCAGAATTGTGAAATCCCTTGCATAAGGAGATTTCCTGAGGTCCCACCTGGCCAACCAACCTCCCCACCCACTGAAAGTCACTTCCCCTTTTCTCTAGCCTGCTGAGTTCACCTATGAATCTTCCCTTGAGCCCTTAACCACTGCTGCCTCAGTGCCCGGTTTAGGCTATAAGCTCAGGCTTCCTGCGCCTGTCAGATGGGTTTCCATTCCTCTTCTCAGTTGCACAGCATGTGCACACCAGATATTCCAAAATTTCTTTTCTTTTTAAATATATTTTTAGTTGTAGATGGACACAATACTTTTATCTTACTTATTTAGATTTATGTGATGCTAAGGATCAGATCCAGTGCCTCCCATGGGCTAGGCAAGCACTCTACCACTGAGCCACAGCCCCAGACCCCAAATTTCTTTAGCTAAGCACACCAGTCTGTGCTTCAGAGACACAAAACAACTAGGAAGGGAATTCTTGAAATTTCCAGAAATAGCATATCAAACACTCCTGAGTAACCATAATCTGTTGTTCAGAGTAGACAGGAATATAAATCACTCACAAAAGGCTAGTCCCTAGATGGAGGAGGAAGGCACCAGAAGACAACTCTGAGCTGCTCTCCTGCATTTGCATCTGCTGAGGAACCAAGGGCAACACTAGAATGTGCACAGGGTCATAGAGATCAAGCTGAAGCATATTTTCCCAAACTCTCAATATTTTTAGTAGCTATTCATTACACTTGGAAGCTTTCAGCTGCTGAATATGAACTGGCAGGGAGCCCTCGTGGTTTTTCCTAGAATGGTGGTTTCAAAGTCTTATGCTTGCAAAGAGATAGAACAATAAGAGCTGAAACTTGTTGCTTCAAACACGAGTGCACTTGATAACTATGTCCATTTATCCACAGGGCCCATCTAGGAAGAGAGTCCTGAAGAGGGCAAAGGAGAACTTAGAATTTGTTTTCAGCTCCTTCATTTTAAAAGAAAGAATTGCCCAAGTAGCCAATTCACACTTAAAGGACATAAAAACGTGGGAGAATGGCTGATTTTCATCTGGTTGCATTACCCCTTGTGAAACTGGGTCTCAGGCTCCCTGAGTGGGCATGGGAGGGTCTTACTCACACCCTTCCAGAGCATCCAATGTGAATTCACTTGTAAGGTATTTTGATGGTGAACAAGAACGTGGTCTATTGAGTCCCCCATTCCCAGCACTCAGCCAGGATACACAAACAAATCTCCAGCAAGGACAGATTTCAGGAACAGAAAAGGCCCATCAATGCAGAGCGGCTGATGTTTGGGTTGTCCAAGCACTTTCAGAGGAAAGGGACTGCACCCCTGGTGGGCCATGCAGTCACAGAGCTCTCCCTGCCAGGCCCGCAGTGAGAAGAAGGCTGGCAGATGAAGGACCATGCATTGGAGAAGACCTGGAGAAACTCTGAAGGAAATGCTAGATGGTTCAGTGCTTGGAGCCACCTTACAGCCACAAGAAAGGAATGTTTATCTATTTCCTTTCTGTAGTCTGTGTCTCAAGATTGACCGTGATGTGAACTCTCCTCTTTGAAACTACAAAACTATATTTCTTTAAATAAGAAATGTTCTCTGCTTTATTAAATATGGAGGGAAGAACTTTCACTTTTAAAAAAGACTGGACTTTGACCACCTAAACAAAGCAATGATATCACAAAATTTACTTTGGACATAAAAATCAGTCTGAGTTTATAGTGCAATAAATTTGAAGGAAAAAAAGTGGGAGGGAATGGCTTGCTCTGGCAAGTTCATGGGAATGCCAGTTTTGAAACATGATCTCTTGTAATTACTCAACTTTGCCTCATCACAAAGGAACGGAGCTGACCTTTCTGAGAGC